CTGTTTATGAGCAGATGCAGTTGCTGGCTTTGCTACCTGCAGCACTGGTGCAATTAGTGGATAAGGCGTCATCAGCACTGGGACTACAAGTGCTGGGACTGTCAATGTCAAGGCTATTGGCACAGAGGTGTCATGAACCAGGGACTTTGACAATACTGAAGTGGATGGCATTAATATTGCTGATTCTGCCAGAGCCTTCTTCACTTTCTTTCCCCTGCCAGATCCCAGTGCGTGAAGAGTGCTCGGAGGGAGCGCTGGCCGACAATGGTTAATCCAGCCTCACTTTAGTCAGATCCAAAGGTGACTGTTATGAAGTAACCCACGCGGACAGCTCAAGTAAATGCATCTTGCACCACATGTCCCTGGATCTGCAGAAGGGCTTACACCACAAAGGACTTATAAAGGATGTGGTTGTCTCATAGGCAGAAGAGGCATCATCTGTGTGTATCCTTGATGGGAATCAGTCCATCACAGGATGAGCAGGAAGAACTGCACTCTGCCATGAGGTGTGGCAGTTAGGATGAACTGCCACACCTCATTCCACTGTTGTACAGAGGGGTCATACAGTGGGGGGAGACAATCAATTTTTTTAAACGTCTTATGCGAAAAAAGGGAGGATAGATTTCACACCAAATAAGTTGTAAAAGCCTGGTTTAGGGTCTCTGAAGAGAGTAGTGGGTCGGACATAAGCTGAATTCTGTCTTGCTGCCATGGGTGGTAAAAGGGAACTGAGGGAGGATCGTGGCTGTGCTCCACGCTTTAGGTCTTTGCAAGAGACCACAATAAGGCACAGGGTGAACAAATGCCTCCAACAGACACTACTAGTGAAAAAAAAAATCTAATCTTGTGCATGAGGTGCACATGCACCTACAATGGGATCCATGCTGACACATACTTGAAGAAGTAGCTCTCTTTCTGCAGAAGTTAACACTTGCCCAGGAAAAATTTCGACTTGCCCCGAGGTAGTACATTTTTCAATTCCTGTTTAAAAGCATCACTCCTAAATTGTCTGCTCTAAGATGTACACCATACCATTATGTGAAATTTACTCCCTAGGGCGTGGAGGTCTGAATAGCAGGGAGGAACGTCTGAGGGATATACTTAAAACGATATTTACAGTGAAAACTGAAGATTTATTTTGTCAGGTTTTTATTAGTAAACAAACAAAAAAGTAAAACATAAAACCAGTTGCTACACTTTAAAAGGCCACTGTCAAGCAAGATGTTAGGTGTGTGTACGTTTTGTAAAAGCTTACTATTTACAACATTAAGAAATATTTCCATTAATTCTTTAATTCTAATGGCAACAGGTTTAATCTGAACAAATAAGAATTCCTCTGCACTGTTGGCAACATTTCAACGCTTAGGGTTCTCTTCATGCAAAATTCCACCAATTACATAAAGGTATGAATAAAAATCACTTTAGTCAAAGAGGTTCAAAAGGTCATGTGGACTCTTAAAATACTAAATTAATATTAGCCAGATTTTATAGCGCAAGTCAATTAGGAACAGGTTTAACACAAAACAAGAGATTGTCTACACAGCCTTTTGCACTGGTTTAAAAACTGATTTAGTTAAACCAGTATAACCTGTGTTTAAATAAGGCTTTAATGAAGGAAAATCTGAAAGTTAAACTGATCAGACAGTCTGTTTCCTTTTTGTTTCTCTCTGCTGCAATAATACATAAAGCAATTCTGAAAAATTGTGCTTACAGGATGCTTGTGCCGCTCGTAAGGATTTTTTTTTTTAAAACTATAATTTGACCTGACCAAACTCTTTTAAAAACTGATAAAGAAGTGACAAAACTCCCATGATATATGAATCTTAAGTTCTTTACCATATTCACTGGTGCAAAATTAACCAAAAAATAATGCTACCAAAAAAGATTTTCTTTTCCTTACAGAGACTGAAATATGACCAAAAAAATTAATGGCTAACATTGTATGCCAACTGGGTACCACAAAGTGAACACTTTAGAAAGAAAATGCACTTTGTTTCTACAAGTGTATTCTGTATATAGAAAAACTTCTGTAGAAAAAAAACTTCAAAGTGTTGATGCTTCTACTGCACATTTAATGTACAAATGAGAGAAGTATAAAACTAATCATACATTTGCTGTTAATATTAAATGTTCTACGCTAGCATAGTCACAATCCTTGAGTAAATACCTAATAATTAACGTGGAAAACTTACACATGGTGAATTGGTGAGACCTGTACTTGACACTTTCTTTTAATATATGTAGACTGAGTACCTTCTTTAACACTGATTTTTAATTCTACTAGGCAAGTTTAATAAGCAAATCTGGTCTCAAGTGAGCTATCTGAGACTGAACCTGAATGGAATTCTCATTCATGGCAACAACCTAATTTAGGGCTGGTCCACACTGGGGCGGGGGATCGATATAGGAAACGCAACTTCAGCTACGAGAATAGCGTAGCTGAAGTCGACGTTTCCTATATCGAACTAAAAGTACCTACTTCGGGTCCACGCGGCGCAGGCAGGCTCCCCCGTCGACAGCGCTTCCTCCTCTCGGCGAGCAGGAGTTCCGCAGTCGACGGGGGAGCGCTTCTGGGATCGATCTATCGCGTCCAGATGAGACGCGATAAATCGATCCCAGAAGATCGATCTCTACCCGCCGAATTAGGCGGGTAGTGTGGACCAGCCCTTAGAGTTAAAAGACTTTACATCAGGCAAACATTAACGGCTAGATTTCCATGAGTGCCCATCACTCAGCAACTCACATTGAACTATTTTTGGGGGAAGGGGAGCAGGGAGGATGCACTGAACACTTCTGAAAATCTGGCCACAAAAGTTTCCAAGTGTAGTTTAACTATAAAGCACAAATGCAATGCTATTTATACAGAAGTTAATGCCACTCACACTTGCCAAGGAAAAATCTCTACTTGCCTTGAGGTAGTGGCATCTTCACGGTATTGAGTGCTCTGAGAGTAAGCCAAATTCTTCTAATTTAAAGTATATTAGAGAAGAAAAAGAATTTCTGCATGTATTCATACACATCAACTCCAAATTTAAAAGTCAATTTTTAATGCAGAATACAATTTGTAGGCAAACTGGTGATTTTATTAGCTACTCTCTCCCCCCATACACCCCCCAAAAAAATAGTCAACATACCCTATACTTCCGTAAAAGCGCACAGGTGTAGAAACTCCACTGAACTTTACTTTCTATCCCACTTTGGTATTTAAGGATATTAGACTAAACTAACAAGTCACAGTTAACACAGACAGGGCCATTGCACTGATGCAAATATTTCTCTGTAGGTACCCCAGTGCAAACTCCGTGTAAGCTGGCTACAGGAATGCAAAACGGGGGCTTACACTAGTTTACTTCAGTATATTACCATATTAAGCTAAACTTGTTTAAACACCGCTTTATGCTAGTGTAGCCCATCCATACCGTAACAGGTGCCAAGCTTCATGGTTTTAGTAAGTTGTTTAGTAAGTAAGCTGTTTCAAGGGATGTCTTCTCTCCCTACCCCCAGATCTTTCCTAAAAAGGACTTTAAATCAAGCATTTAATATTAATTACAGCTGGCATTACCTGATTAGAAAGTTATAACTTGCAATCAATGTATTTCTCTCATTGACATTTTCCCTTTCAAGCATTAGATATTCCCTCAAAATACTACTACTTCCAAACTAGAGTTAAGCAAATATTCTGGCTAAAAATTTCCATTTTAAAAGCAAGTACATTGGATATAGTAGTAAAGTTTAGTATGAACACGGAACAACTACAGCCTTGCCAGTTCTCACTCATGTCCACTATTCCATGCAACTTTTCAAAATAATTTTGATGTACACAATAAATCTATTCTAAATTGTCTAAGTTATCAAAGCTCTTAAGACCCATACTTGGTTGAAGTTACTGATTTTCTTGAAAGTTATTTTCACATACTGTGGACCTACAAACAGTGCATAAAAAGCCCCTCAAATTCACTTCATATCCACAAATCAAGAAGTCTACAAAGCCAAGAGTTATTTTCAACGCATAGATAGCACTGTACACAATGAGCATGTTGACTTCATGTATCTTCTAAAAACGTAGTTGCTAAGTCCTATCTTGGATGTGATGAGAACACACATTTAGGCAACATTAAAGGTCACAGCAGGCAAACACTTACTACTGAGTCTGGTGCTTACCACCATGAATAATTCCACTGAAGTTAATCCAACTCTCAGCAGCATTACAAACGGCATGTTTGTTCAGCATGTTCAGGTCCCCCGGTTGGACATTTGAACACAAAAACACCAGCTAGTTGAAACAGTATTGTTTCCAAAGCCACACTAATTGCTCCGCTATATACGTAGTTGCATGATGTTACATCTTTCACAGTCTAGCTGGTTATGCACGTTGCATATGCAGCCTAAATGGATGTTGCCAATGGAGCTCCCCGCGCATCCTGACTTTGTACTTTACATTGACAACTTCACGGTTCCAGCCTGACAGGATTGAACCTCTATGTGCAACGCTGCGGCTTCGCGCAGCCCTTATGTAACCCGCCACACCGCACGCACGCAGGGCACAAGCTCAGGTTTACAACTGCACGTGAGCACTGGAAACCCCTCGCCAGCCCTGCCGCCCCCAGGAGCTCGCCCGCTCCCCTTTGTGGCGGGGGGCAGGCGGAGCCCAGCCCGGGCACGCAGTGGGGGCCGTGGGGGGCCCGCGCGCCGCCAAGGGCGAGCGGGGAAATTACGGACCCCGCAGGCCGGGGAGAGCAGCCCGGCCGCAGCCTGCGCACCCTGCCCAGGGCGCGGCGGCAAAGCAGGGCGGGGATGCTGCCCGGGCGGGGCGGGCAGCCGCGGGCCGGCCCCGCTTCCCTGGAGCCCGAGCCGGGGGCACCGCAGTCCCCTCCCGCCGGGGCACACGAGCCGTAGGGCCGCTCGCACAAACTTCTCCGGGCCGCGGGGGAACCCGCCCGGCCCAGTCACACGCGGTTGGCGCGACCCCAGGCCGGCCCGCGCGGGGCCGGGATTTCTACCTGCGACACCAGCGGGACCAGCGTCTGCTCCACCGAGCGCGTGCGGATCTCCAGCGCCGCCTCCGCGCCCAGCCCCGCTGACGACGCGGAGGAGACGCCGCTGCTGCTGCACGGGGACGTGGCCATGGCGGGAGCCGCAACCGGACCGGCTCCGTGGCGCCTCCCCCGGCCCGCAGCGCGCTAGTCTCCCGCCGACACCGCTGCGGCCCCGGAGCCCGCCCCGAGCCCCGCCCCCCGGCCCGAGTGGGGGGCCGGGCCGGGCCGGGGCGGGCAGGAGCCGCGCCGACTGCGCACATCGCCCCCTAGCGGGGCCGGCCCGGAGCCGGATCATGGACACCTGCCCTCGCCCCGGGACGCAGCCCCCCGTGAGTGGCAAGTCCCCGCGGCTATAGCTGCCCCGCACGTTTCCCTACATTGGCCCCTGGAAAACAAACCCAGTCCCAGCTACCGGCCCGTCCTCCCCCCCCCCCATCCCGCGCTCCTGCTCCTAGCGCTGGAATAATTTGGGAACGGGACACTGCCGCCGTCCCCTCCACGTGCTGCCCACATGCCATGCTGGCTCTTCTCCGCTCGAGCTGCCCCCGGCCCAATTAGCTCTTCCCCCGCCTTGTACCGCGCCGGTCTCCCACACCCCCGTTTTCCGCCGTGCCTTGAACTTCTCTTGGCAGGGCCGGAGCTCCGGTTCAGCGCCGTGTGCTAGTTCTCCTCCTCAGCCGGCCAGGCCCATCTCCACACAGCTACAAAGCTGGCTGCCCAGGAAGCAGGGAGGTTGTTGGAGGTCAAGCTTTGCTGCCCCGTCAACCACTTAAGAGACTCTCTGCCTCCTCATTTTACACACAGGGGCGAGTGAACAGCTGGGTCTCCGGAAGCTGCCCCCGGAATTGATGGCTTCTGATCGTTGACATGCCTTCTAGCTGCAGCTGGCAAAGTTTGTTTTTTTGGGGGGGAATTCTGGCAGTCAACCAAAAACCCAGAGGTGCTGGTGAGGTGTGAGCCAGAGAGCTAGCCCCAAAGCTAGTTCCCCACTGAAGGCAAGTGGGTCTGGGATTCACGTTTTATCCTGCTTCACAACCTCCCTGGAAAAAACAAGGACCAGTTGGAGCAGGTTTAATGTCTTGAAGGGAGAAACATCCCACAGTCTCTGTCCTTACAGCAGCACTGCCTTGAAGTGATAAGCCCCCCACCTGCCATTCCAGGGATTCCTTCCTCTACCTCAGTGGTTCTCAACCTGCTGCCCAGTCAGCACAGAGCTGTGGCCCATGTGATAACCTCCAGGCCATACAGGTAGTATTGGATGTGGCAAATAGGTTGAGAACCACTGCTCTACCTAGAACATATGTTGTTGATTTGCAGATCAGCAATTTGAGGAAATGTCCTATACACTCCCTATTTTGGTGGCAGAATAGACGAGCTTCATGCTTAGTTTGACTCACCTCATCACATTGCATTATGATCTACTGGAACTATCCTAGAAACAATATTCGAACCAAAAAACCTCACTTGCTCACCCAATATGGTTGTTTATAGCACATTAAGAAATCCTGGAAAACAATCTCTACTTTAATATGTAAAGGTTTTGCATTGTCATTGGCCTTTGAAATCAAACAACTTACAAATGTTTTTAGTGTCATTTACACAATACTGAAAGTTATTTTACTGCTAAGATAAAGGGAGTCAAGATTTAGTTGGCCTACTTAGATTTTTAATAAAAAGAGAAAATTGCTAGAGCTGCAGGTCTAACCCTAGATAAAGCCATGACTTTATTCTTATTAACTCAGGAAATTGGATTCCATCCCCATCCAATATTGTATCTTCCAAAGTGACATCCATTGTACAACATCAAATGTTACAAGGAAGATATTTGCTTGTCCAGAAGACGGAAATATCTCATAGCACAAGTTTAAATGAGGTATACCTTCTTAAATTAAAAGTCAATCATGTTTATGCAACTAGTTCTAAATACTGCTGAGACTTCTATTTTTCTGTTAATCCTAGACTGTAAGCTTTTTGGGGCAGAGCCAGTCTTCTTTGTTACTTGTCAGTACAGTCCCTAAAATAGTGAGGTCCTGGTGCTTGAATGTATTTCCTAGGCACTACCATAATATAAACCACATAAAATCTACATTTTACATCTAACATGGCACAATGCATCCACACCCAATTTAGACTTGTCTAGCCGCACCAAAACATATGTTAGTGTTAGCTGCTGCTGCACCATTTCTTCAGTGTTGAAAAAGACCGAGGCTCAGCCTTTTCTAAGTTGGATGTAGTTTCCAGATCAGACACAGGATAAGTAAAACTTTCAGCTCTGAGATGAGACAAGAGAAATAGTACAGCATAATGTCCATTTTAAATAAAAACGTCTCCTGAAAAAAATTCTCTGTGACCCATTTTTAGATATGCCACAGACACACACACAAACAACTAAATACATATTGACAATTACTATTGTACATACACTTAAAGTAGCTTCCCTTCTTCAACAAATTATATATACCAGACCAGTGATTCTCAAACTTTTGTACTGGTGACCCCTTTCACATAGCAAGCTTCTGAGTGCAACCCCCCTTATAAATTAAAAATTCTTTTTATATATTCAACACCATTATAAATGCTGGAGGCAAAGCGGGGCTGGGGGTGGAGGCTGACAGCTCCCCCGTATAATAACCTCACGATCCCGTGAAGGGTCCCGACCCCCAGTTTAAGAACCCCTGTGCTAGACAGAGGCATTGCTTTGAGGCAGCAAAGTTTAAATCTAACCAATCTGCAGAAAAGGCAGGATACTTGGGGAAAGGAGCTTTGGAGGGTGTTCAAATATAATATGGTAAGAGAGTTCCCAAGGAGTTGGGGATGGATGTGTTTCAACTAAGCAGCAACAAAAAAAGCATGCATTCCTACTGAAGATTAAAACCCCTAAAGTGTAGATTAGGTACATGTAAGCACTTTTATCCCCAAACATATAAACATTTAGAATTCTCTGCCTCAGGAGATATTGGCAGAATTCTCCTCACAGATTTTCAGGAAGCAAAAATTACTATTCTTCAGGCTGGGAATACATAAATACTAGAACACACACACAGCATGCTATGCCTCACAGCTAACCAGACACCACCCACATCTCTGTGGAAACAATGAGAGTTAAAATGTGCATGAAAGGGAAGAAACAGATGGTCAGAAAGGAAGAGGTGCTAGGGAGCAGCAGCTTTATATGACATCTTCCTCCAGTATTTGCTCTTAACATACACAGCAAATTGTTAAGAGTTAATGATGCTCATTACAACATTAACTCCTGATCTACAAGAAAGAGCACGTAAGCTATAGACTAGGAGAACTGCCACAGAGCTAGGAGAGATGGCAGTCACTTTATGGGGCTTTCCTGAAATCCATTAAGTCAGGTCTGGGTTTCATTCAGGTCCACTAATGTTATAAAATATGTTCCTGCCCCTTCCTCGCCACAAGCACCAGTCCAGTGTTGCAAGGGGAAAGAATGAGAGATGAAGGCACAGAAACAGAAGCAAATATACAAGTAATTTTTCCATTAATCAAAAAAAATGATTTGGCTTTTGATACCAAGGATTGGTCTGGCTGGTTACAAGGTATTCGATCCTCACTCACTGTGACGGGGTCCCTGGGGTGTAACCTGGACTGGGACCACTGAGCCTTCCAGACCTACCAACATGGGCTGCCTCTCACACTGTGAAACTGATGTCAAGCTACAAGCGTCTGACAGGCACTGCCATCCGCAAGCCTCTGCCACTTACGCAGCCATCCACAGGCAGACACACACCCAACTGAGTTACATGAATGATCTCCTAGCCACTTATGAACCATCAATAGAGAGGCTCCAGCCAATTCCGCCCCCCACCCCAGTCTTGCACCCCAGAGCTGTACTGTCTTGCACTGGTCAGAAGCCTAGCCAGTGTAAGCTCATTACCTAGTTCACTACTTCTTCATAGGAAAATTGACATGCACCAGCCTTTGTAACCTGAGATGAGATTCTCTTAACACTTCAACCAAAAAATTCATACTGTTTTAGGTGAAATATAAAAACAGATTTATTAACTACGGAAATATAGATTTTAAGTGATTATAAGTAGCAGCCATACAGATCAAAGTTGGCTACTTAAGAAATAAAAATAAATTCACAGTCTAAATTTTACAAACTAAGGCCTGGTCTACACTATGAGTGTAGGTCGAATTTAGCAGCGTTAAATCGAATTAACCCTGCACCCGTCCACACAACGAAGCCATTTACTTCTAAATAAAATCAATTTCTGTACTCCTCCCCGACGAGGGGAGTAGTGCCGAAATCGACATTGCCATTTCGAATTAGGGTTAGTGTGGGCGCAATTCGACGGTATTGGCCTCTGGGAGCTATCCCAAAGTGCACCATTGTGACCGCTCTGGACAGCAATCTGAACTCAGATGCACTGGCCAGGTAGACAGGAAAAGCCCCGCGAACTTTTGAATTTCATTTCCTGTTTGCCCAGCTTGGAGAGCACAGGTGACCACGCAGAGCTCATCAGCACAGGTAACCATGCAGTCCAAGAATCGAAAAAGAGCACCAGCAGGGACCATACGGGAGGTACTAGATCTGATCGCTATATGGGGAGAGGATTCTCTGCTAGCAGAACTACGTTCCAAAAGACGAAATGCCAAAACATTTGAAAAAAATCTCCAAGGGCATGATGGAGAGAGGCCACAATAGGGACTCATATCAGTGCCGCGTGAAAGTTAAGGAGCTCAGACAAGCCTACCAGAAAACCAAAGAAGCAAATGGAAGGTCCAGGGCAGAGCCGCAGACATGCCACTTCTACGCTGAGCTGCATGCAATTCTAGGGAGGGCCGCCACCACTACCCCACCTCTGACCGTGGATTCCAAGGAGGGGGTAATCTCAGCCATGCCTGAGGATTCTGTGGACAGGGAAGATAAGGAGGAGGAGGATGAAGACAAGCTTGCGGAGAGCACACAGCACTCCCTTCTCCCCAACAGCCAGGATCTTTTTCTCAGCCTGACTGAATACCCTCCCAACCCTCCCAAGGCAGTATCCCAGACCATGAAGCCATGGAAGGGACCTCTGGTGAGTGTACCTTTGTAAATATAAAACATGGTTTAAAAGCAAGTGTTTTTTAATGATTAATTTGCCCTGAGGACTTGGGATGCATTCGCGGCCAGTACAGCTAC